TTGCCGGTGAAGCACGGAATGAAATACGAAGCGTTAGAAAAAAAAGTCCAAGGGATTCCAAAGGAAGCAATTAACGGCGGCGGAAGAGCAGAATATGGTGAGAACTGTCCAAATTTTTGTTTACATAGGAGAAAATTCGGTAAGATCCTTCCATTATTTGATGATTCTTCAATATTGTACAAATATGTACACATTATACACAACTACACATAGTAACTCGGAGTGTTTGGTACGGAATGTCCACGCATCCTTACACCCCTGTAGATTCAAGAAATGTTCCCATTCATTTCCAAGAATAATCTTTGCGGCAAATACAACGCAGTAGGCCTGGCCGTATTGATGTTTATATCATATCTCAGATATGCTGTAAACATCAATTAGACAAGAAAAATGATTAGACCTCATCTAAACTAATCATTTTCCAGGATGCGTTTGTATTAGATTAGATTAGATTACCATGCTTCTGTGTTAATTTTCCTTCAGATGTCACTGCTGTTCTTAATGGTGACATCTGTCAGAAATTACCCATACACTTAGTTCCGTTGATTGTTAACAGAGGGCAGTGCGATCAAAACATGTATGGTACCTCTATATATGCATTTAGGTTAAAACCCGAAGACTCTCCTTTTTTACATATTCTGCACATAAAGTATATGGGGTCTCCCTTATATGGGGCCTCCCTTAGCTCAGTCGGTAAGGGCGCAGCCACAAAGCAAGACCATGCTGGAGGTGGCTGGGTTCAATTCCCGGTCCGGTCTAGGAATTTTTCGGGTTGGAAAATTTCTCGACTTCCCTGGGCATAGAAGTATGATTGGATTTGCCACACAATCATATCAATGCAAAAATGGTACAGGCATCGAAAGCTCTCAATTAATGACTGTGGAAGTGCATCTAGAAGACTAAGTTGAGAGCACGCAATAAGCTAATATGCGATATGTAATAACAGGGTGTCTACTCAATCCAAGGAATCAAATTCCCTGAGTTTTCCAGGTTTTTCCAGGTCGGATGAAAAAAAATTCCAGGTGCCTACAAATTATACACATTATTATTTTATCTATTTATCCATCTGGAATCCCTTTTATGTACATATTGATTTATGTTATTTTCGATTGTTCAAACTTGGGCGTTGGTACTTATAAGTTGGCACAGCAAAAAAGTTATTGAATATTACAGCAGAACAGATGCACATAGGTTGTTTAATATTAATTTGTACAATTTATGTTTAGTAAATGCACGTTAGTGCAATGTAAAAGTACCTCCACTATTGGTGCATTTATCCTACACATAATTTGCGAAAAGAAATTATATCCATGGGTGTAATATTGTATTTGGTTTTTGCAATCACATTAGTTATTCATACAGTAGCATGCATTACATCAATCAATATTACATTCTTTTTTGGTATTTGTGTAGTATTTCTTTAATTCAAGAATATAAACACAAGTAAGAAACCTGTCTATACTATTTCGATAAAACGATATATCAAAATTTGATAACAATATGCTTTCAAAAACAAAATATCATTTTGATAATATGTTTGAGTCCAACTCTGTTTGGAAGATCAAGACAGAATAAATCATGGTTTCACATGTCTAAAATCTCATAAGGTCCGTTTAGACTATCTGATTTCTTGGTCTGCTTTTGACCGCCGCCATAATGAAAAATCTACTCGAATTTACTTTCGACACACTTTGTCGAACCCCCCTGTTTGCTGGTGTTCACACTGCTTGCACATGTCGAAAGAACTGTCAATTTAGATTTCAAAACAAAACTGTATCAGGAATCAAAAGTAAATACTTCCAACATGAATTACCAGAAAATTGCTCTAGTTCCGGCGCACGTATTTGCTTTTATTATTTTAAATAAAATGAGAAGGAGAAGGTGAACTTTGTGGAGTAGGAAATGGTTGCTCAGGAGGAACACCGGCAGGGATCTGGCTCATCTTGTCCTTCAAGAGCTGCGACATGATTCCTTGAGTTCTGAAAATTTCTGTTAACAACTCAATTCTGCAAGGTCTTCAAACCTTCTGACGTCCCTGAAGTTTTGTTTCTGTTCTCCGGTAAAATTTCTTTAAAGATCAACAACTTTCCTGACGATCTGCAAATTTCTCGGTAGTTCTACAGATTTCCTTGAAGTTCTGCAAATTTTCCTAAACATCTACAAAGTTCCTGAATCCCTGAAGATTTAAGATCCTTGAAGATCAACAATTATCTCTGATGTTCACAAAATTTCTAATAATCTACAAACTTCTCGAAGTTTCATGATTCAATCAATATCTGCAAATATCTCTGAACATCTATACAATTTTCTAAAGAATTAAAAGATTATCTAGAAATTTTTGATCTTTCCGGAAGTTTCAGGAAGTATTCTGAAGTTTTTCTAATTTTTCTGAAGCTGTGCAAAAATCTCTAAAGATCAGCGAACATACCTGAAGTTCTGAAAATGTCTCTCAAAATCCAAGAACTGCAGTAAAATTCTGAAAATTTATTTAAACATCTGCTAATTTTTGAGTAGATTTAAGATCTACCCTCTGAACTTTTCTGAAGTTCCTAAAATTTATTTCAAATTCTGTAAAGTTTTCTGAAGTACTGTATTTCTGCTCTAAGGATCTACGAACTGCCCTGAAGTTCAATAAATTTCACAGTAGATCTCCGAACTTTTCAAAAGTTCTTTAAATTTCTTTGTGGATTCTTGATCTAAAGATCGACGAACTTTCCCTAAGATCTGTAAGTTTTGCTGAAGTTTGGCAAATTTTTCTAAAAACGTACGAACTTTCTGACGTTCTACAGACTTCTATTAAGGTCTACGGACTTCTCTTAAGGTCTACGGACTTCTCTTAAGGTCTACGGACTTCTCTTAAGGTCTACGGACTTCTCTGAAGTTCTTTAGATCTATCTATTTCCGACTGCCATGGATTTCTGCAAAATATTGTACTTTTGTACTTCGCTGCGATTTGTTTTTGGAATTCAGGTGATTTTCTGACATTTAACGAATTTTTCGGAAGATCTCACATATGTGTAAAACTGTGAAACTTTCTGTCAAATTCCTGCAAATATCTTTAAAGTTCTGTAAAGTTGTCTTAAGCTCCGTTGCTCTATTCCCAAGATCCACAAAAAAAAAAAAAAAAAAAAAAAAAAACTTGAGGCTCAATAAATTTTTCAGTAGATCTGCAAACTTCTGTGATGTTTTGTAAATTCCTCTCGGGTTACCCTGAAGATTTGAAAATTTCGTTGAAGATTACCTAAAGTTGTCAAAATTTATCTGAAAATATTTGAGCTTCCTTGAAGTTTAAAATGTCTCTCTCAAGATCTACAAATTTTCCTGAAATCGTGTAAATATTTTTTTTTTAAATCACCGAACTTCCCTGAAGTTCTGAATTTTTTTTACTGAAGATCCATTAACATTTCTGAGATTCTTGTGATTCTTTCTGAAGTCCTGTAGCTTTGTTCTGAAAATCTACGAACTTTTCTGATGTTGAATAATGTTTCGAGGATCTCCAAACTTCTGTGAAATACTTTATATTTCTCTGTAGATTCTTGGACTTGTCTGAAGTTATGCGAATTTCCCTGAAGATTTGCAAAATTACAAATTGATTTGAAATTATTGTTGCTTGCTTTAAGTTTTGAAATTTTTTTTGAACATTTATCTGAAGATCTACGACCGCTCTTGTGATTTTGTTTTTATGAATTTCTGCTAATTACTTTTAATTTGTTTGTAGTTCTGTTCTCAAGATCTACGAACTACCCTGAAGCTCAACAAATTTCTCAGTAGATCTCCGACCCTCTCTGAAGCTCAAACAAATTCTATGTAGGCTCTCAGACCTGCTGTCTGGCATGCTTATTCTTATATAATACATCCTTCGTATCCTTCCTTTTGACGGTTGCCAGTCTCTCTTCTTCGACTGTTTCCTTTTTACGATGATTTTGATCCTCCACATACAAATCAGCGAAGAGCTTGCGTGACAAGACTCTCTGAATGAACTTGTCTCGTTCGCACACGTTGTCTTCCTGTCAGATGCTTGTCAAGTTCAGTGCCCTTAAGAAACGTTTCGAGAAACTGAACGAAAAACTTCTTTTGAATTACGAATGAAGTGATAATTGGAAAACTCCCTGAGTGGAACCAAAATTCTCTGAATATTCCAGGTTTTTCCAGAAAAAATAAAATTCCCTGTAAATTCCCGGTTTTCCAGGTTTTTCCAGGAAGTAGACACCCCGAATAAGCTTGAAATGCAAAGAAGAAGAAGAAGCAGAAGACATAAAGTATATCCGAGGTCCCTTCTTTTTTACATATTCTGCACACCGAACACTTTCCAAGCCCCGCCCCAAACAGGATTTCCCAGATTTTTGTGCAGAATATGTAAAAAAGGAGGGACTTCGGATGTTCATCAAAAAGCATATATAGAGGAACCAGACATGTTTTGCAGTGTCAGGTACTCTATTTTGAAGTCTGTGAGAGGGAAATCATAAATAGAGTGTCATCAAAATACATGGCATGTTGCGAATTTGAACTAGTGAGAGCGAATTTTCTCTCTCAAATTTGAATTTTTTGGCTCTGTGGGGACTGGTAGTAAAGCAGGTAAAACTGTTGTTTAATAATAATTCCCGTTCCTGACTAATTTCTTTAGGTTGTTGTTCACTTTTTTTGAGCTGAATATGCACCGAAAGCGAATTATTCCCACTTCTCTCAATTTCTATATGGGGATGTTTATCTCTTCCTACCAGCGGAACAGCGCCGTGTCTGTGGAAAATGGTCGGACGATATGATTAATTAAATAGACAATATTCCAGCTTTGCAAATATTGTAATTGAGCGTTTTTTGAATCTTGAAACTTCTCAATTAACATTGTTTCTTAAAAATTACTTCCTCTCTGAGAGTGAAATTTCCACATTAACTATCACCAAATTCCGAAAAATCTATCAAGCCTCATGATTTCCGGAGGAATTAAATGATGCACAGACTTCCCGAACCATTCGATGGGGACCTTCCCATCTTCTACCTACCTTCGTTGAGCCGTTTCGGCGTACTGGAAGCACCGTCCCGCAGTAGTTCGGCGGGGCTGGTCGGTGGTGGTGTGTGGACCCGGGACCCACTGGGTTTCCGAGCCGAGATGGGAGCTGAGATGGAGGGCCGCCGCGAATTGGCCAACGTCAGAGGTCGTCCATCGTCCGAGTCCCTGTCACCGGCGGTGGCTGTGCAGCAAAAAAATAAATAACAAGATGAAGTTAATAAACATTTCCGGAATGTTAGTCCACACATCTTGAGAAGGTTTTTTTTTTTTTTGTTCTCGTTCCGGATGGTTGACATTCCGCACGTATATTTGGATTACCTTGCGAGTAGCACTGGCCGTAGTTTTCCTTGTTGCACTGCAGCACTTTGTGCTGGATGAATCGCACAATGTCGGAGAGAGCGAACGTTTTCTGACAGGACCCGCATGTTAGGATATCTTGAGTGCCTTCAGATTCTCCGGTGTCTGAATCTGTTGAAAAAGAAGGGGAACAACAGAAGAAGGGTAGAAGAATTAAAAATTATTATCTCATCACAGCTAATTTAATGAATTTAATTAGATTTCTGCTACTGCCACCACTGCTACAACAAAGTCTTCGGAAAGCGATGCGATGGCAGTCAGGCAAGGCAGCCAGGCAGAGGAGTGGATTCCGGTAGGGAGGCCGCTTTTGCACGCCTCCCGGTTTAATTAAATGGAATGGGTGCTCGCTCGGAATTCTTTCCGCCGGTCGGATTGTTGTCTCCGGGCCAACGAGATCTGGTCGAGTCCTGCTGGTGTCCGCCGGTAGTCGAGTTCCAGCTTTTATTTTTACGAGCTACAAGAATAATAACCATTGGCCGTTAGTGTCAGAAACTGAAGGAATTTCGGTTGACACTTAACATCGCTCCTCGGAAATTCCTGGAGCCGCCCCAGTCGTTGCAGGACAATGGGAGTCTTCTTCTTCTCCGGCTACAGGACCTTGGGTCAAATGGGTGTCACCACAGTTACTTCGCCGTGGGGAAACGAGCCAGGGCAATAAAAGTTTGTGTGAAAAACACTTTCACAAAACTTATTTATATCGAGAGTTATAAATTGCGCTATTTTCATTTTTCGGAATTAATATAATAAATTCTGTCCCATTCCAATAGCGAGACGGGCACCGGCCAAAGGACCCCACTCATTTACCGACGACGAAGCCCGGGTAGTTTTATCCTTGCTCGGTCTCCTCCGTCTCCGAAGGACAAATAAGTTCGATTTTATCTCCCCTCACACTATGATAAAGTGGTGCTGGGAGAGGAGGGCAAGATGCAAGACGACACGGTGGGGACAGGATAACACTATATCTATTGGAAGATGTGTAATTAATGTTTCTTAGAGAGTTGAGTCGAGAAGCGGCGAAGGAGTTGGGAAAAGATGCGGGTACACCACAAAGGATACCCTTTTTCGCACACAAGGAGGGACAGAGGGAGAGCCGGCAAAAGGAAGCGAAAGTAGCGGAAATAAAATTGAAATAAAAATCACTGCCAGCGCCAGAAAACTCTCCTCCTGAGGACCGACGACCCGGGTGTTAGGGACTTGGAGAGCGCAGTCATTAAAAGAACGGGGCGGTTGGTCGTAAACTGCTTGCACTCGATACGACGGATACGAGATCAATCTACCGAAACCCGGACAAGTACCAGAACCATCTCTGACAGTAATGTGTGCTGTGAGAGTTGACCTATTCGCCCGGGTGGATCGGATCCGTAAAATAAAAGGATGTCGGCGGGGAGGGGAGGACATTAGTTTCAATGCGTGCGCTGTGCTCTAGTATTACTAATATATATGGTAGCGAAGGGATTCGATTTTTATGACCATTCGAAGGATCGAAACAATTAATATGGTAATATCAGCCACTTTGCTGCACAGCATCACAGTCAGTGTGTGTCCTCTCTGATCCTAGTCGAACTAATTCGAGCTGAAGCGATTTTAGTGGCCGGGGAGCAATACACAATCAATAAATTATTTCACGACCGTTTTGGCGACGTAGAGAGGATATTCATAAATTTCGACACGAAGAATTGATGCGCGCTGGGTTGCAGTCGGGTGATTGGCATCGAGATGGATGGCGAATAAAGATAAATTTTATTGGCCATTTCCAGGGGGTTTGAGATGGCTTTTTTGGAATGGGGCGCAACATAAAAAAAATACGCATTTGAGCAATGATGACACCAGGGGTAATTAGCAGTCATGTGGGGACGTTTCGGTGCCCGAGGATAAAGTTTCGGAGCGAAGCTGGGTTCGACGGCTAATCAGGATGGCTATTCTAGAAAATGTGAAGGACAAAAGGGTATTGGATAGTTTGCTGTACGATAGCATCGTGCTTCTTAATTCTCGATCCTTGATACTCTCGATTTTCGAGCTTATCGATTCTCGATTCTTGAGATTCCGGATTCTTGATTCATGATATTCGGATACGGCACCTGTTTCAAATCTGCCAATAACGCATTCTCCAGGACGTTCTCTTTATCCGTCGATATTGTCCGGGAGCTGTCTCAACGGAGATTTTTTGGGCAGGAACATCACGGATTTACTATTTGATATGCTCGAACTATGAAATCGTGATACTTTCAAACAAGTAGATTTATTTCACTCAAACATACTTGCGGTTAGCTTCCGTTTGGATGAGTATTTCCACAGCTGTAAGATCCATTTCGAGGCCATCAAGAAACTTTGGAAATGTACCAATAAAGCGAAGACAACATGTCAAATCATCATCGACATTATCGAATAAAGCGAAGACATCATATGAAAAAGACTGACAACTGTTCCAGAGTACAAGCGACAGACAAAACAGAAGCGTTGCGCTTGAATGAAGGTAGAAGCAACGCAAAGAAAAATGAGCAAATCTCTCTTCTGGGGTTGGAGTCATTGCTTTCGAGAGGCAGATGACGCGATTGTGCATGTTTTACAGCGGTCGTTTGAGAAAACGGGAGAGTTGCCATTCTTCATGATATGTTGTCTTCGAATAAAGGCTAACTCAAGGTTGCAAATACTCATTTCAGCTAAAACAATGTTTTTTTTTAATTATGAAATAATTAGATGCCATGATCATATTTTGAATTGGTAGGATACAAGAAGAGGTTGCAAAGAATGTGTTTGACATATTAAACCTGTTTATTTCCCTTCATGAGAGTCACAATCAGCGATTTTTCACACACTCACTCACTCACTCACTCACTCACTCAGCGATCAGCAAACGCATACTTTGTAACCTCTTCTTGTAAATTACAAGTTAAACATGCCATCATACCATATTTTGATTTTATTATTCCGAAAAACATTATTTTAGCTGAAATGAGTATTTGCAACCTTGGGTTAACTCTAAATTCGGTTGAATTTTGCCATAACAGGAAATACATATGTACCTGGGTACTATCTTTGATCTTCAGGAAATTTTCAAACTCAGGAAGCGAAACAGTCGTTCCCATTTGTGACACAGACCTCACTGGTTTTTAGAAAACAGTCACCGAAATTTGACAAATATTTTTGGTGACAGTTGGACTTTAGTAAAATAATGATCATCTTACTCTAAAATTAGATGCTTATTTAATCTAATAAGAGTACACACCTTGGTTGAATGATGTTACTCAATTTTTGACATTTAGCATCAAAAAACGAAGCTGTGTAAAAATTACTCTATATTGAGTAACATAATTGCGATCATTATGATTGCCTTATGATAGGTGTATTCAATGATATTACTCGAGGTTGAAGTAGTTTTCACTAGTTCGAGTTTCTACGAAAATAAACAGTAGCCAAAATTCACTTAAAACTACTTCCAGTCAAGGTTGCAAATACTCATTTCAGCTTAAACAATGTTTTTCTAAATTATGAAATAATTAGATGCCATGATCAAATTTTGAATTGGTAGGATACAAGGAGAGGTTGCAAAGAATGTGTTTGACATATTAAACCTGTTTATTTCACTTCATGAGAGTCACAATCAGCGATTTTTCACAAACTCACTTACTCACTCACTCACTCACTCAGCGATCAGAAAATCGCTGATTGTGACTCATAGAAAGCAAAATTTACAGGTTTTATGTTTCAAACGCATACTTTGTAACCTCTTCTTGTAAGTTACAAGTTAAACATGCCATCATACCATCTTTTGGTTTTATTATTCCGAAAACATTATTTTAGCTGAAATGAGTATTTTCAACCTTGCTTCCAGTTGGTTGATTCAAAGAACACTTTTAAAGCCTAATTTGTTCATTCATTTAGAAAAAAAAGGTATCAACAACACTCCAAGTCTCGTTTCAAGTATGTAGTTTGGTTGAATGTTTAACCCGAGGAAAATACATAACAAACCGATTTCAAACTTATTTTGACAGATTAAATTCCAAACATTTTGAGGTTAAACCTGTACACAGCGATGCACCCTTTAGTAAACGTCACTAATCTCTATTGCCCAGCAACGCTAGCTATGAAAATCAGAATAGAGATGCTAGATTTGAAGAAATCAAGCTAAACATGGCATTAGGCCCTAAGTAACATTGATCGATTCTCTTGGTCGACTTTCTCTTTCGTTAATAACTTGAGCACATAACCGTTTCTTATTGTGTTTATAATATTAGACTCTAGATAAAAGCTTCTTTTATCGATCTGTGTGATGAAAATACCTGGGAATGTCCTTACATGTGAATGGAGGTACAAAGAGAAAGTCGACGATGAGAATCTGTCAATGTTACTTAGGATCTAATGCAATGTTTAGCTTGAAATGTCTTCAATTTGAAGATTGGCACTCTGACATTGACAGTTCGTTCGGTTTAAAACGGAACCGTCCGGTGGTTGGTTCTGTCTCAAATTCCGAGTCAATCGAGTAACGTCATTTCAAGCTGAACATTGCATTAGGTCCTTAATAACATTGACAGATTTTTTTTTCCTCTGTTCGGAACCTAACACTACTGCGACCAGTTAATTGATCTATTGTAGTATATCCCGTGTCCTTAGTTTAGTGCATGTCGTATTACTCCATCACTATTGAGAAATGATGAAGTATTCGATTTTTTTTACAGTTGCCACTCTTGCATTTATCGCAAGGATCCGACTCTAATTGAAAGGTCCCGCTATTTATACCCTTCGGAGTGTTGAAACACCCTCCAAAGGCGCGCCCCTTTGTCAGTTAAAATTGGATTCCTTAGCAACAAAATTAAGGTATGACACCGATAATGACCATGCATCAGAACCCTAGTCTTAACCACTTCAAACTAGGGAACAAAGAATAGAAGATTAGGAATCACATAGATGAAGACAACTAACTCATTTGTTTTTCCTTGTTTCAAGATCATCCTCGGTAGACAAAGCCGAGTCTTGTCACTATCAACAAGGCATACAAAGTAACAAGGACTAAGACGTGTTCCTTGGATTACTGAAAAATCCTGTTCCCCTAGTTTGAAGTAGTCAGGACTAGGAATCGGTGGTAGATCTTACATCCCGTAACGTACCACGAA